AACAAGAGCTCTTTGATAAGCGCAAGAGCTCATCTTACCGGAAGGAGAAAATCCTGTGTCAGTCACATTCGATTGTAAATGCATCCCTTATCATACCCCACACTTCAGTTGAAATTATGTGTGACGGAGAAGGAGCAGAATAACTTTCACACACATCACCATGTAGTGTATGTGTACACTGTATCTGCCTGACCTCAAGCTGTAATCTAGAGGAGTTACACTTCCTCGAGGCTCCATTTGCGGAGCCAGAGCCTGGCTGCGGTAATATTGAGCCTGGGTACACCAGCCGGCCAGAGTTCTCTCCCACACAAGTGAGGATCACTACACAAGGGAACCTGAAAGGTCTGTGGAGCAAAGTGCTTTGGCAAGACAGCTGCCAAATACAGGGCCTCTTTGCCATCTACTCTGCACAGATCTGGCTTTGTGTGAAAGGTACCAGCTTGTTCCCTCAGGGGACTAGAAACGATGGCCCCATGGGTGGTCTGAAGAGAACTATATACTAGGAGCGGGAATATGGTGGGAATTTAAGTTTTCGGAACAGAATGCTTGTTTTGAACACCACTGTGGTAGCAGTGAAAGTGTAAGAATCTGTTATATGCTTTGTCAGTGACTTTTTTTACTCCATCATCTGTAACTCTATCACTCACTTTTCATTCTCATTTGTAATTTTTCTGAAAGTCATAAACATTTCACAGTGTCATTTCCAGTACATTGTTGAAATAACATAACAGTGGTGGAAATTAAATTATATTTTATAGTTAACTTCATAGCTAGAATTGTATACATTTTACATACAACAAACTATTTTCATATTTTATAAATAATTAAAAATGTGCAATATTTACCTTGATTCTTCATTTTCTTCACACATCTCATGTTCCATCTCAAGCATGTTTGTCACTAACTGGAAAAGATGCCTGAGCGACAGTGTAATAATTTGTGTATGAATATTGAATATATATAAAATTAATATAAATTAATAAAATAAATATTGAAATTGATTTTTTTTCACTCTTTTTGGTTTAAGAGTTTTAAAATATTATATATACTGTATATATATATATAAAACAATTATTTTTATTTATTACAAATATTTTTATGATTGATTTTCATATAGCTTAACCTTGATAGTCTGGGTCTGTGACAATAAAATCTATAGGCTGGCATAAAAGCAAGTACAAAGTTGCAAAAATAAATTAAGTATGGTCAAATGTTTCCAAATGAGTTTTAATTTAATAATAACAACTTGAAACTTGTTAATTTTTATTAAAAAATAAAATAAAATCAACCCCTGGTACATAAGAGTGCCAGTCAACAGGCTGAATCCAGTGCCCCTTTCAGAGACTGTAATCAAAGCTACCATGACACATTTCTCTTTCTCTCTTTCCCAACTATAACACGCATTTATAATTATGGCATACATACAATGTCAGTATACGCTGACAGTATTATGTTTTCAACGTACGTACGTTCACAAAGCAGAAGAATAGGGCCTATGGTTGTCAGTCCTGTTTTAGATTAGAATCGGTTCTTTTCAGTGAATCGTTTGAACCAGTCTCCAACCGATTCAAAAGAGTAATTTTTCAGAATCGGGCTTGTTCTGTTTGTAAGCACAGACGACCAACTGTACAGTACAGTACACACGTTTAAACTAAAATAGATATGTTACTGCAAGTCTGCATGATTTAAATAATAACGCTACTCTCTTGCTAGTCGCTATCCACCTTGTTCTTCCTGTAAGAGTGGACGCGGCCATTTGTAATTTTTATGGGACTGGCTTCCGGTCTCATCGACGTCCAGCTATTTTTAGCTGTACAAAACAGCTCGTTTTGCTGCTTGATATTGCAATTTGGTGTGTCTTACCTTATTATTTTAATGTATTATCTTAATTATGAACATACTGGTTTGTAGTGCAAACAGTTTTACCGTTTAATGCACGTTGTTATTCTTCTCGTTATTTCCTTACAGCAGCTAATGAACCGGAAGTCTCGTCCATACTTCCGCGTTGCAGAATAAGGTGGATATAAAATAATAATTCTTCTCATAACTGCATATGAGTATGTGTCACTTAAAGACTCAAATGCTTCTGAGCTCTTGGGACATGTTCATCTTTCTGTTTTGCAGTGTAGGAACATTTGACAAAAGAAATGAATCAAACAGTGAAAGTCTACTGTTATAGGTCTCTAGAGGTTTAGCTATTTTAGTTCTGGCCCATGGCCTCTCAGTTTGAGTGTGAGAGTGAACGCTGCCATTGAGTGTGTCCATGCCTGACTGATCACAACCACTCTCTGTATCCAGATTGTGTCCATTTGACCCCGTAAGACCCCCTCTCTCCCAGGAGTGCCCACACCTACCGGGATAAGCCTATGAAACGTGATCGAAGGGATTGTGAGGAGCAGAAATGTGAGGTGTACCTGAGATCCTGCCTTGCCCATGCAGGGAAAGATTATCCTGAAGGAATGAATGAAGCTGCCCACATCTTAATCCTTCACCTGAACAGATTACTATTAAGAGAATCACCGAAGTCTGGATGTATATTGTGTTTATGTAATAGAGAAGAACAAAATTATTAACAAAGATGTATTCTAATCCCTACTTGTAAATGACCTCCTAACCTTTTGCATGTAAAATGAGTAACAAAGCCTCTGCCAAGTTCATGAAAATCTTGATATTCAAATGTGGATGGTCATATGCTCTGATAGTTCTGACGTCAATACGATGCACTTTCTATTAATATAAACCACTAAAGTATTCTTTTATTTCAAAAGATATATATGCATATGAATTTATATAATCCATTTGATCATCATAGTTATACCTTTGCTCTGGCAGTTTAAGCTCTGCTCACACTGACAGCAATTAAATCGATTAAATATACCAGCTGTTGGCTGTAGACATTTCAAGCATGTTCCCTCCCACCAGCTAGTCACTAAACAATATGACCCTTGTTGTCGCTTTCCAAAACCTTTACCTTCTCTGTTCCTCTTTGGTGGAATGAGCTACCAACCTCCACCTGAACTGCTGAAACCATCACAAAAAGCAGATGAAGACAACTTTTCTGTCAGAACCACTCCACACCCCTAAACCAAATCACTTGCCAAAAAAAAAAAAAATACTCCTTTGCATTTCTCCTCTGTCCTAGCTTGTTTTCTAATTTTCTAATAAATGTGGTATTCTGTGGTGAATTGCTTATGCTCTTCTATTGTAAGTTGCTTTGGATAAAAGTATCTACTAAATGCATAAATGCAAAATCTACATCTTAAAAAAAAAACAGCAACTTTCTTCGAAAACAAAACTCTTCACAATTGCAACCGAATCATTGTCCATCTAAATGCCCCTTAAGGCTTCACTGAGTCACTGACAATAAGCAATTCAAGTTTTGACAATTATTAAATGTCTGTAATGATTTATAGGGGGTGTATACTTGCAGAAAGCCGCATTCAAATGGATTAAAAGGCTTCAGACTTCATTAACTTGTGTCTGTGTTAATGACATACGCTGCAGTCACAGCAGTGGTGATGACTGCCTCATCTTGCACTGCTGCTCAAAGTGTGAGCTGTAGGACCATCTGGTACCATTAAAACTTTCTTCTTAAAACATAAAAATACTTTTCCTGTCTCCACAGTTTCATTGGTCGGCTAATGTTTTTCTTTGTTTGACACACAGTGTGGCAAATTGAAAATGTCCACCTGGACATTTTTACTGATGTACTAATGGCCTAATCAGAGGCTCCTTAAGCAGCAGAATGTACTGCCGCAGAGCCTGAGAGAGCCAAGATAATTAAACTTGTATTCAAGATAAATAAATTATGAGACATTCACTGAAAACACAGAGATAGACAATAATTAGATATGTGAGCGTACAAAATTCTGACAAACATTTTCAAGGACATTGGCACAAAATCCTCAATTAACCTGCAATCTCAGTTACTAATGTTCATTAGCAATGTCATAGACAGCTCATTATGAATTCATACCAGACACTATTGTCATTAATAATACATTAGCATTCACACACTAGTGTATACGCATCAGCTTTTATGTAGCCTATTGGATAACTTCATTTGAGTCATAGAGTTGATGTTGGCTAAAATACAAAAATGAGGATTGCAAATGTTTGTCAACATAGATTTTTATTAATAAGAGAAGGTTCTATAAATCTAAGAGTGACATGACTATTTACACTGAAGTTCAAGTTGGTAATTTGTTATCCTGAAGGGTCAAGAAACAGCACCTTTTGTGTAACAAACCATAAGTCTGTTTCCCTTTAAACTTTTTATGTCATATTATGTCATATGCTTTGTTTATCTTTATATTTTATGAACTTATATTTTCCCATTTTTTTATTCCTTGATATCTGCACACCACTAGTTCACAAAGAATGACATTTTCAAGTTAAAAGCCTTTATCAAGCTAAAGTCAGAAATGTACTATGTGCAAGTACGCAAACTCAGATGTGAATGAATATGTACACTGCAAAAAAAAAAAAAAGTCTTGTTTTCCAGTAAAAATGTCTAAACTTTTCTAAATCAAGATAAATAAAATGACATAAGATATTGAATGTTGTTTTATTTTTCTTATCCCCTGGCAGATTTTAAGCTTAAACACACTTAATTTTGACAATTGTTTTAGAAAGCAAGAGTTAATATCTCAAGTCATTTTCCTTTTCAAGTAAATGTATCTTGATTTGGGAATTTTTAGATTTTTTTGTTTTTGTTTTTTTGTTTTTTGTTATGGAAAAAGGACAAAAATACTACGGAATTAATTTTTTGCAGTGTATGTACTGAATGTGTGTAATTGCATTGTGGCTATAACAATTCTCAGCATCCAAAGGGACAATAGTTAACTTCATATGTCTGTGCCATTAAAACAGATGAGAGAGAAAAACTTGCTGAAGAAGACACAAATTATTGCTACAGCACACAGCACAATTTTATTTAAAGTTATTTAACTAAAAGCATTTGTGTTCATGTACTTGCATAAAGTGTGCTTTGGCTCTGAAGGCAGAATGTGTTGTTGGTTTGTAATGAATTTATTTGGATGTACTAACAACGGTCAAGGCAGAATCCCTTCATGGTTTGTGGTGTGTTCCCCTGCAGTGCTTTTCTGCATAGAAGTTTAGACGTTTTAGTGTTTATTTTTGTATTTTTCACATGGCAGGAACCTAGCTTTAGTGGCAAAGACCCAAAGAGGTGTAATATCAAGTAAATGTGATATATGAAGCCATATAAACACTGTGAGAACAGAACAGTAATAGCAGTACTACAAAGTACAGGCGAGAGTTGGCTTTCAGCCCATATACGAGAGTAACACACTTAACACAGAGTGCTTTAGAATTAGTGTGAGAAGGATGGAGGGGAGATCTATAGTTTCCTCTTTCCTCATCAGATTAACACAAACCTGTAGTGAGAGACAGAGGACAGGAGTTAATTCATGCGTGTTATCCAGGGGATCTTTACACATCATCTGCTATATGGACAACTTCAATCACATTATGAAAAAAACATTGAAATAAAAATAAACGAATGTAATATGCAAACACTATGTGAAGGAACAGTGTCATTGTTGACCATTTTCAAGAACTGCACAGCACATGACACACAACCGTTCAAAAGTTTGGGGTCGGTTAGATATTTTTCAAAAGAAGTCTCTTATTCTCATCAACATTTATTTGATAAAAATACAGTAAAAACAGTAATATTGTGAAATATTATTACAATTTAAAGTAACTGTTTTCCATTTTAATATATTTTAAAATGTAATTTATTCCTGTGATGGCAAAGCAGATTTTTCAGACTCATTACTCCAGTTTTCAATGTCACATGATCCTTAGAAATCATTGTAAAAGTTTTTACTGTCACTTTCAATCAATTTAAAGGGGTCATATGACGTTGCTAAAAAGAACATTATGTTGTGTATTTGGTGTAATGCAATGTGTTTATGCGGTTTAAGGTTCATAAAACACATTATTTTCCACATAATGTACATTATTGTTGCTCCTCTATGCCCCGCCTTTCTGAAATGCGTCGATTTTTACAAAGCTCATCGTTCTGAAAAGCGAGGTGTATGCTGATTGGCCAGCTATCCAGTGCGTTGTGATTGGCTGAATACCTCAAGCGTGTGACGGAAATGTTACGCCCCTTACCATACTGTGATGCCCTGTGTCCCGGCACGACAAGACAAACACAATAAAACCCATTACAAACGATGCATTTGTTGCATCCAGTGGGGACATAATTACTGATTATAATGACTTATACTGTCTTTTTACGCGTTGCGTTGCGTATCGCGCCACGTAAACA